ACTCGCACCTGCACTCGCTGAACGCCGTCGTCAGCGCATCGAAGCAGTCGCCGTCCCTCGTGCACTCCCCGCACGCCGCAACCTTCGTCACGTTGGTGATGCCGTTGAGCCCCATCTCAGCCGCCGTCAACACCTTTCCCGCGACCGTCAGGCACCCAGCAACGAACCTGTAGCCGGCTTCGACGCCCCTCAGCAGGGACCGCGACATCCCCGTGGAGCCCATCTTGCAGCCCGTCAGCGTCACTGCGCTGCCGCTGTCGACGCTCACAGAAACCCGAGGGGTTGAACATTTTCCCCCCTCTCACGTCGTTGTCGCGCCAATCCAACCAGCTTGACTGCCGAACGACCCACGACTCGTACGCAAGGATGGAATAGGTCAGCGGGCCGCTGTTCCCCACCATGCGCATGACGCTGTGGTCCAACACCTTGCTGCTGTAGTACTGGCACAGAAAGCAATTCCCGGAGGCCATTGTGTTGTTGAGCAGCGCGAAAACCGAGTGATCACTGACACTCAGCCGATACGTGTAGACCATGTACGTGTATTTTTCGAAGCTGCAATACCGCACGTACAGCGAGCTGCCTCTCAACAACGTCAGTTGCTGGGAAAACAGAAGACCAGTCGGCAAAAAAACCAACTGACGCACGCGCCTTGACGTCGCTGACCAACAGCGAAGAGGCAGTCAACAAGACCTCCTGCAGCAGCACCACGCTAGCGTAGCTGTATCCCACCTCCGGCAAATAGACGGAGGAGGACTGCACCGCGTCGACCCCCGTGACGGCGATGTCGCAACGCTGCGGCGGGGAACCTGAAAAAGCCACAACGGAGGACTTCATCACCGTCTGGCTCACGCGGATCAGCACGCCGGCGGACTCGGCCGCCTCATTATCTCCGACAAACAGCAGCGCGGCCCCGCCCAAAAATGTGCATCCAGAGAAGGTGATGTTGATGGGGAGATGCAGCGGCATACGAGAAAAATAAAACGTCAGCACAGCCCTCTCGCCACTGAACGTCACACCCACGTAGCAGTGGTGCGTCTTCCACATCTCCAGCGTGAGCTCCGTCAGCGTCTGGCCCACCACGCAGCTCGTGTTGTCGTCGACGGCTCTCTCCGCTAATGGCGGCACAACGATGTCGGGCACCTCGAAGGGAAGGCACGACGCGCCATGCCGTCCGTCTTTGCAGCTGCACGAGCACGAACCGCCGTCCACCGACTCCGTCCCGGGCATGTAGCACGCCGCTTCGTCCTTGCATGTGCCGCAGCTGAACTGCAACGACTTCGGAAACCTATTGCCGTACGACGCCTCCTCATCGCCCTGCAGGTTGCACCCCGCCAAAAACTGCGCGGGTGAAGTCATCACCACTCTGAGTGATAAATTACCACCAACAAATGATTTACTCGCGTCCGCCTGACGGTTGCGTGCAAACACCACAGTAGTGCCGCTGCCCGAGAGCCTAAGGGGTGACCAGGCATCTGCCACAGAAAATACCGAGGCTGTGCTCACGTTGTTGTCCTCCACACGCAACTGCCCACCACTCTCGAGGTTAAATTTTCTGGACGAGACATACAACAGCGAAGTATAAGACGCATAGGCGCTGCCGACGAAGGTGCAGTCCGCCACTCTCAGCAGCCCCGCGGAGCTCACGGCAAACCCCATATAAATATAGATACCTTGAGCTCCGCTCATCGTGTTGTTCTCGACGTCAAAGTAGCCACCGTTCTTCACACCAACAGCGTCCGCATACACGGCGGAATTTGCCGTCGCGCTCTTGTCTGTTACCCTCAGCGTGTTTCCCTTCATCACGACCCCGCCCCCATCAATGAGAAGCCCATCGGGGAAGTTGACGGCGTAATTACTCGCCTTGATCCGGTTGTCGAGCAGCAGCAGAGTCGACTTCACCCCAAGAGAAAACGTCGGGAAGTAAACGGCGTGGTGCGATGTCGCCAAGATCACACTGCCTGCCAGCAATATCTGGGAGCCCGCACCAAAAGAACCCAAGAACTGCAGATGCCCCGAATCCAACAGCGAGGACGTCACGTTCACGTACACGCGCTCGCCACTCCCCTTGATCGACAGGCCAATAAAGACACACTGCAGCAGCGTAATGTTGAGGGTCTGCTGGGGCGCGGCGAAGCTCGACAGGTCCAGGACGATTGCGGCGGTAAAGGTCACATTGACGAAGCACAGCCCACGCACCCCGGGAGTGGGGTCGCCCACGGCCCTCATCCTGCCGCCGTACACGCAGTGAACCTCCGTGTTATTCGCATCGGGGAGCGGAAGAGGCCCAAGGCCGCCCGGGACCGCCGCCGGCAGACACGTGTCGCCGTAACCGCCAGCAGCGCACATGCAGTGGCAGCTGCTGAAGCCGCTCGTCCTCGCGGTGAAGCACACGGCGTCCTTCGCACACGCGCCGCAGTCCAACGCCGTCACATTTTTGACGCCGAGCTCGTCTGCGTAGTTCTTCACAGCAGAGCCCCGCTTCTCGTTGC